ACACCCACTCAGGCACATCACAGTGTGTCAGGAATCTGGGTAGCTGGAACTGGATCCTCCGTCAGGCCCCTGTTGCCTCACATGAGAATTGAAGTTGATTCACTTCGGTCAACTCCTAGCGCGCAGCGCTGCCCGCTGAGCACCTGAACACTGCTAGCCCGTGCCCCCAACCTGGTCTGCCTTGTCCCCGAAAAAGAACTCGGCCATCCCACGTCCCCGACCACCTTAGCTCAATAGTGGGAGGAAAGAAGACTTTGGAAGCAATAATATTAGCCCGGGGGTTGGGGGGTGGGGGAGGGAGTGAATTTTCTGGGCTGGGCACGACAAAGGTCCCAAAGCAAAATCGGCTCTGAGAGACCCATGATACTTAACTAGCCTAGATGTGTTTCCTTCTAATATTTGTTTTATTCAAACACAGCAGAAAAAAAATGGAGGTAAGACTAACCCCAAATACAGAGCTTTGATTTTTCTACTAAGCCAAAAGGAAGGCATAAGGACCTAAAGAACCAAAGGACCTAAAGAAGTAAATTACGTATCCTTCTTGTTAGGTTATTGAACTGCTGTTTACAGCTTACATTATTAGTGTATGTTCATCACTGCATGACTGCCCTGGGTCGCCAGAAGCAGCCCAGGCCCCCACAATTTAAGAGTTAGCAGGTGTAAGTCACATATAATTATTTTGTTGGGTATGGTGTGTTCCTTCCTCTGTCTTCTATTTGGGAACTCGGGCTAATGTCAAAATCTGATTGTAATCAAACAGAGGAGAGGACAACATCAGCATCCAGTGTTACTGGTGAACTGGGAAGGGTTTTTGGTTCAGAATCTTGGAGATGGGTTTAGCTCAGCTCCAAATGATCTTTTTCCAGGCTGGCTGCTCTCAATCTTCACCAAAATCAAGATAGTAATATCTATCATCTCAGAAGTTTCCTCGGGCTCCGGCTCCCTTTTTAATCTCTTCTTCTGCCCTTTGTTTCCCGCTTCCCCCGCCATCTCCTGTTTTCTGTCATTATGGATTAGTTTGCATTATCTAGATCATTATATAAATGGAATCATACAATATATAATACTCTATTGTCTGCCTTCTTTCACTCAGCATAATTATTTTGAGATGCATCTATGTTGTTTTGCCAATACTTCATTTTTATTGATAAGTAGTATTCCGTTTTATGGATATACTATAATTTGTTTAACCATTCATAACCAGTCAGCTATTGATGAACATTTGGATTGTTTCCAGTGTTTGGCTATTACTGCTATAAATATTTGTATATAAGTCTTTATATGAACACGTATTTCCTGTTCTCTTAAGTAGATACCTACAGGTGAAATGGCTAGATCATACGGTAGGACTATGTTTAATTTTTAAAGAAACTGCCAAACATTTTTCCAAAGTGGTTGTACCATTTTGCATTCCCACCAACAGCGTATGAGACTTTCAGTTACTTGGTACCGTTACCCACATTTGGTTGGCCAGCCTTCTTTTTTTTTATTATTTTAAAAAAAAAAAAATTTTTTTTTTTAACATTTATTTATTTTTGAGACAGAGAGAGACACAGCATGAACGGGGGAGGGGCAGAGAGAGAGGGAGACACAGAATCGGAAGCAGGCTCCAGGCTCTGAGCCATCAGCCCAGAGCCCAACGCGGGGCTCGAACTCGCGGACCGCGAGATCGTGACCTGAGCTGAAGTTAGACGCTTAACCGACTGAGCCACCCAGGTGCCCCAAGGCCAGCCTTCTTAATTTTACCATTTTAGAGTGCTACCACGCCAGAGTGTGGCACCACACCAGACTGCCCCATTTGTTATAACTGATAAACCTACATTTACACATCATTGTCACCCACAGTTTATAGTTTACACTAGGGTACACGCTTGATGTACCAATGTGTGTTTTGACAAATGTATAGTAATATGTATCCATCATCATGGTAACATGCAGAATAGTTTCACTGCCCTAAAAATCCTCTGTGCTCCACCTATCCATCCCTCCACCCCACTCCCCAGCCGGTGGCAACCACTGATCTTTTTACTGTATCGGCACTTTTACCTTTTCCAGGATATCATATACTTGGAATCATACAATGTGCAGCCTTTTCAGATTGACTTCTTTCACTTAGTAATATGCATTTACACTTCCTTCATGTCTTTTCATGGCTTGATAGCTGACTTCTGTTAGTGCTACATGATTCCCACTGTTTGGATATACCAAGGTTTTTCGTTCACCCGCTGAAGGGCATCTTGATTGCTTCCAAGTTTTGGCAATTATGAATCAAGCTGTTGTCAACAACTGTGTGCAGATTTTTCAATTCCTTAGTTTTCACCGTCAGTAAATATACTAAGGAGCATGATTGCCAGATTATATGGTAACAGGTGTACTTTTATAAGGAATTAGAGGCAGCTAGACTGTCTTCCCAAGGGGCTGTTCCATTTTTGCATTCCCACCAGCAACAAATGAAAAGTTTCTGTTGTTTCACATTCTTGCCAGCATTTGCTATTGTCGGTGTTTTGGACCTTTGTATACTAATAGTGTAGATATATCTAATTGTTTTAATTTGCATTTCCCTGTTAACATATGATGTGGAGCATCTTTTCATGTGGTTATTAGCCATCTGTACTTTTTTGTTTGTTTTGGCCATCTGTACGTCTTTGGTGAAGTGTCTGTTAAGGTCTTTGGCCCATTTTAAAATCCAGTTGTTTTTCTTATTGTTGAATTGGAAGAGGTTTTTTTTTTTTTGTTTGTTTATTTTGGATAATAGTCTGCTTTGATCTGAATGGTTGTGGACCCCTGAAATTCATGTTGTTAAAATTCTAGTCTCTAATGATGGTATTAGGAGGTGGGGGGTTGGGAGAGGTGATTATATCATGAGATGGAACCCTCATGATTGAGATTAGTGCCCTCATAAAAGCGGCTCCACAGAGCAACCTAGCTTCCTTCACCCCAAAAGGCCCCCCCCAACCATGCTGGCACCTTTACTGGACTTCCCAACCTCCAGATCTGTGAGATATAAATGTTTATAAGCCACCAAATTTATGGCATTTTTGTTATAGCAGCTCGAATGTACTAAAACAGTCCTTTGTCAGATACATCTTTTATAAATATTTTCTAGTTTGTAAGTTATCTCATTTTCTGTATGAACACCGTTTACATGTGCTTTATTGGCCATTCGTATATCTTCTTTGATGAAGTGTATGTTCAAATCTTTAGTCTGTTTCTTTTAACTGCATTTTTAAACTTTATTTATTTATTTTGAGAGAGAGAGAAAGTGCACAAGCAGGGGAGGGGCAGAGAGAGAGAGATAGAGAGAGAGAGAGAGAGAGAGAGAGAGAGAATCCCAGGCAGGCTTCACGCTGCCAGTGCCGAACCAGACATGGGCCTCAAACTCCTAAACCATGAGATCATGACCTGAGCCAAAATCAAAGTCACATGCTTAATTGACTGAGCCACCCAGGCACCCCTTGCATTGTTTTTGTTTTTTAATTTTTTAATGTTTAAATTTATTTTATTTTTGAGAGAGAGACAGAGTACAAATGGGAGGGGCAGAGAGGGAGACACAAAATCTGAAGCAGGCTCTAGGCTCTGAGCTGTCAGCACAGAACCCGATGTGGGGCTTGAACACACTAACCACAAGATCATGACCTGAGTCAAAGTTGGACGCTTAACTCACTGGGCCACCTAGGTGCCCCTGCATTGTTTTTTTAATTGTTGAGTTTGAGAGTTTTTTATCTAGACAAGGATTATACAAGTCCTTGTATAGATCTTTTTATCTATAAAGGACTTTTGATCTATAAAGGACTATACAAGTCCTTTATCTGATATATGCTTTGCAAATATTTTCTCCCAGGCTATTTCTTGTCTTTATTCCTTTAACAGTCTCTTTTAAAGAGCCATAGTTTTTCATTTTGATGAAGTACATTTATCAGTTTGTTCCATTTTTTTTTTAATTTTTTTTTTCAACGTTTATTTATTTTTGGGACAAAGAGAGACAGAGCATGAACGGG